AAATAGTTTTTTAAGACTTAACAGAACGGAGGAGATTTAACAGAACATCTTAAAAGAGCTAAGAATGCAGAGAAAACTAGTCTGTCAATGAAGTTTACTGCTCAGGTCAAAATCCATTGACCGTCGATGTCGGGAAACTAGAAAGGTCTGTCTGCGAAATAGTATTATCAGCAAGCGGGCTACGAGTCAAGACTCCAGAGAAATAAGATTTAATCCAGAATATTCCCGAACAGAAATCAGCAGGGACGCAAATATCCCGCGGTTACAGAGCGCGCAAGCGCCACTAAACCAGCAATAAGTACCAGCAATAATCAGAAGCTAGTTAGCTAATAGATTCGACTAGTTGTTTAGAGCATTTTTCACAGGCTTGATCCAAACTGACAGCCCGTTTCTATAATCGGCTGATTATGATCAATAAGTTAGTTTTTGCAAAGGCTGCTTTATAATAAGATAGAAAAAAGAACATAATTTTTGTTTTTATTATTTGCATTTATTGAAGTATCTTATATTAATTATCAAAAGGAATATAACAGTGTTATCAGAAAAAATATAACAATTTTATTTTTTAATAAGAATATTTATAGAATGATATATGTGTGTTTTTTATTTATATTGATATATTGATATATTTCATTGATATATTTATATCATATTGATATATGTGTTGATGTACGGTTATATATTGTTAGACATAATAAATATATTTGCATAAGACAAAAGGAAAGAAATATTGAGTAATTTCAGTCTAAAACAAGAATAATAAGAGCTCTAATAGACCTAAAAGGAATCTAAAAGATCTGCATAGTTGTTCTCTCTTTAATCTCGAAGAACGACACCCTCTCCACAATTATGATCCTACAATTTTCAACAAAGTTATGATATTTCAAAGTTGCCCAGGTCTGACAGACCTAGATTATACTGTGTGCCCCAAAAAGTGAGCGCGGAGAGTTAAACGATAATTAGACGCCTTAAGCACGTTTGTAGTCTTCTCAATCGCGTATTTCGACAGTTTTTTTTATTTTCAACTTGCTATTGATAATATTCCATATTTTTAAATATCTTATGTGCACGTGCGCATACGCGTCTCGTTCGCGGCGGTAGCAGAAGCAGCAGCAACAAGACGACGGTATCGCATTCCAAACGAAACTCCAGACACTTCAACCGGCACTGTCGCGTGTATGTCTCGGGACGCGTTATTTTTCTCTCATCCGTGTTTACACACGCTCCCGTGCAAACACCTTGCCGTATCGCTGCGCGGCGATTGGTATGCGACTTGGGAAGGTCGACACTCGAGATCTGCGTACGCTGCAAACGATAAATATCCACGACTCCGCGTTAGCCATTAGAGAGACGGCTGTATACGAATCTCTTCCGATCAGCAATGATAGCAACGACGAAAAATAAAAGTATCGTCTTACATATATTATTTTTTCTTCTTTAATTTACCAGCTTCTTTAATTTACGAGCATATAAAAATTTCAAAAGCAATAAGGCGCGTGTAGAGTGTACATTAAACTCCAAATGATTTATGTTGCAAATATTAAACAAGCTAATATTTTTGGTGTGTTACTTGATATTATTTATTGTTGCGCATATCTTAGAGTATAGTAAAATTTTAAAACTTTAATTTTAACGTCTTCTCTCTGTCTTTCTCTCTCTTTCTTTCTCTATCTCGATAATAATCAGTTTTATGATTGAAATAAATCCAGAATTACAAGTATTTTTCATATTTTTATATAAAAAATACTTGTAAAATTATAACTATAACGTATATTAACGTATATAGCTACAACGTATTATTTGTTAATTTATTAATTAATTAATGGTTAAAAACATGCAGATGTATTATGAGACTGAGTTAGGTGATTAGATTTATCGTTAATCAGAAATATACAGTAAAACAATAACATAATAGAAATAAAAAAATATTGGGCGTATCATTTTTTTTACTTTAAGTTCATTATTAACAATTCTCATTTTCATTGTGGCATTTTTTATTGTAGATTCTTCTTCATTTATTAAACTTAGATTCATTAGTGCGGAAATCGAAAGCTATTTCCATCTTTATATTAAAATCAGCATCACATGTACATTAATATTGCCTGGGACAACAACACATATATCGCGTACGAAGACCTACGTTTATAGAGTCGGCATCACACGACGCGCCGGCGAAATTGCTCCTCAGCGGAGGAACGCGAGAACCGGCAATTCTCTCGTGGCGCGCGGTCGCCGGCACCGATTCATTGAGGTTTTTCTTATCTGAGCTAAAATCCTTGGAAACGAGAGCAGTTATGAAAATAAAAGGCTGCCGCGGACGTCTCTAAGAGGCAGACGTGAAATAATACGTCTCTCGGCGAGCACGGAGGGCCGAGGAGAAACGAGGACACTTAAAGCAGCAAGCTGCAGTCAATTCCGTAATTGCTTCTTTATCATGATCTTCAGAGAACCGACAGAATTGCTTTATTACAGGGTTTTCAGTCTGCTTCCAATTTTCCGAGCACATGCGTCGCTCGCTCGCTCGTTCACTCGCACGCGCGCCGCTGCGTGCGTGGCCCACATTTAGTGACTGCGTTTATTGTATCGCGCGTGCAGACGGCGAACGTCGCGCAGGATGCACCTCGCGAAAAAGCAATCGGTGTCTCTCTCTCTCTCTCTCTCTCTCTCTCTCTTTTTCTTCCTCGCTTTTTCTGCCTCTGTCTCTCCTAATTTTCTCTCGCATTTTCATCTCTAGACGTCGTCAGTGCGGTGGGAGAAGCACGCGCAACGTATTGTTCTCGAAGAAGAGAAGACTCTTGGTGGACGTTCTGGCAGGTGGAGAAGAATTTTCACGAGGAACAGAGAGCGTTCGGCTGGCCGCGTTAAATTCGTGCGTTGTATCATTGCGAATCGCGCGACTGAACACTTTATCGACTACCTCAATACGTGAAACCTCCTTATCTCGCGAGATCCCCACAGCAACGATAATATAATGACAGTAGTTCTGGAAGATTGAATCTGTCTATCGCGCTGGCACTCACCTCTCTCGCGCTTCCGATCCGGGATTCCATAAATCAATGGCAATAAAACGCGGACGCGCCGCGCTGTGTGAGACCCAGTCGCCGGAAACCGCTGAAAGACTGCAGACGATCGCAGATAAACATGAAAATTTCGACGGTATCGTCGCCGACGACGACGGCGGCGACGGTGGCGGCGGCGGTTGCGGCGGCAACGCCGGCGACGACGACGACGACGGCGGCGAGCGACGCGACAGGCGTCCTTGCTCCAACCACTCGCGCTACTACCGATGACGTAATCGTCGCGATACCCCGCAATCTTGGCGCCGCGGTAAACTCGTAATATCTATTTTTATCTGTGTGGTGGAAGCAAGGGGCCCCCGGTTCCCCTTCCCTCCACCGCCGACCGTGTCCCGTCTCTCTGTCTCTTTCTCTTTCTCACGTCGCGCCGTTCTACACACACGCCAGCTCGTCCACACGCGTATCGAGCCACACAGAAAGCCAAGCCAAACCAAGCCCCGCGAATGTCCGAGAGCCTCGAAAACCGAACGACGTTATTGCGACGGAGACGGCGGCGGCGGCGGTGGCGACGACGGCGACGGCCGACGCGATAAGAACGCTTTCACGTCGCGCTTTCCGAAGCCGCCTACGATGAAATTTCCGGTCCGGTCGAACGAGCTCTCGCTGTCTGATAAGCACGGCGACCGCTTATCACTCGAGTTTTACCGATCATCGACAAAGAGAGAGAGAGAGAGAGAAGACGTGAAACGTCTTCAACGATTATGTTCTAGGTGACGCGAAATCATTTGTTTGCTCGGGAAAACATGTTTTTGATCGTAGCGTTAGAAATCAAATACAATAAGAAAGCAGAACTGTGGGAATTCATTTATTATCGAAGCACTTCATTAATTCGAACGTTTACGTCAGTGATTCTTGAATAAAATTCATATCGGTTAGATTATATCACAACACAATTCTCAAGCGGTAATAATTAAATATGCAACGTCTGGCACTACGCGCTAACTATAGCAGCGATATTAATATTAATTTACTTTCATTTTGCGTCTCGCCGGTCTTAAAATAGAACGGGATTCATGCTCGTGCACCTTTTGCGACTTATCTTGTTCCCACAAGACCCCACTTGCACGGTCAACTCGTCCAGTCTCGAATATCTGGCGCCGGCGCGACGCCGGACGACGAAAAGCGTAGGACTCGTGGTGAGACACCAGTCCTTTGTAATGCCGCCTGCACGACGGCAGCTTTTTCACATACTGACGAGGATACCAGGAAGGCCTATCGTTAACAAAAGATCTCGTTTTCCTTTGAAAAGATCTCTAAGACTGAACCTGCGGAAGACGACGATTACTCCCTTTTGAGTAATCAGACGTTTTCCTCGTAACGTATGGAAACGAGTACGGAACATTAAAACTGTGGAAATGCAGATACATGCTGTGTAGATTGCAGTTTTCCGGTAACGCGTTTAACTGAGAATTTTCTTGCTGTTTTTCACACACTATTTCGCACTAGTTTACTCACTACTTCAGTTATCGTTCAAGTTACGCGTCCCGAAATGAAGATAATAAGAACATTCAACAACGTACTTGTATTTTTTCTCCCGTAATCTCGTCTTATCTATCCAACATATTTTATGTATCTATATTTTGAAAGAGAAATTTTTTTTACTATCCGGTATTTCGCTCTTTGTCGTTGAGTCTACCTTGTCGTTTAAGAATTAATGACTAAGGATAATAGGTCTGTTTTTTCGCTGAGCTGAAGTGTATACTTACAAAACTTAAAAAAAGAAACTGAAATATAGTTGATACTTGGTGGAAAAAAAGAAGATAACTAGTGCAAGTTAATAGTGCAGCGAAAAAGAAGACTAAATGTCACTCATGAACAACCGAACGATGACTTGGCGCGGGATACTGAAAACACTATTATTAGCGACTCGTTTAAGTATTTTCACACTCTAATGAATTTGTGTTCCTTCTGTGTTTTGCGCAGGTGAGACAGGACAGAGGGAATGGTGCACCTTGGCGTATTGGGAGCTGGGCGGCCGAGTGGGTCGTTTGTATCCCGTGGAGCCTTCGACGGTGAACGTCTTCGACTCTCTCCACGACGGCGACGGCCTCTGTCTGGCGACACTAGCCGAGAACCACATTGCACCGCCCGCGGTCCAACGTACGCGCAGCAAAATCGGTCTTGGTAAGATCTCGCCGCTAAAGAACTCGTTTTAATGCTCTAAACGAGCAGGCTTCGCTTCGCTTCGCGTTAGAGAGTTTCGTTCGTTTTACCGCAGTCATTGAAGAATTTTATCTCGCTGACGTAACAATTCGCGCGCGTACTATCCTAGACCTTTTAATAAAGGTATCTCGTTTTTTGAAGTGTCAAAGATCATTGTTTTTGGAAAGTTATTTTTCTAAAAGAAACTCGTTATCCATTAAAAAATGTAATCATTGCCGTTGCTTATATCGGAGAATAACTCATTACCATTGTCGTTTGCTCAAGAACGAATTATTGCAATTTCCATTATTTTCTTCATGAAGTTTTCAAAGTATATTTTTGTAGTTCGCCCGTCTCATGTATATGTATTTTGCATGTGTAAAGTAACGCAGCAGTATTCGTTACTGTTACTCAAAAAAATATAATTGCGTTACCATTACTAATAGAATAGACAAAAATATTATTATCAAGTAGTTATAAAAAAACTTAGCTTGTAGCAATAACGGCTTTACTCCCCAGTTCTGAAAACTGCATATTAAAGGTAGAGATGGAAAGTTATCGATGGCACAATCAATAACTGTCGATAGTTCACACTATCGATAACCACCGATAATTTAAAACAAGCTACTAATAGTCTTTGATAGTTCTTTTTCTTGATAACCTCATTTTGGAATAATTATTTATGACAAAATACTTTTGATCATTACATTAACAATTAATAAATTAATTTCTTTTTCATTATATAATAAACAAATTTAGTTAAGACGCAAGTATTTACAAATGACTGGAATATATGGATACAACAGCGCGCACTAGTAGCAGTAACGTGAACCAATATATATGAAACAAAATTGTTTGATTAATTGTTGTAACTATTTACTACTAACTGGAATCTAATTAACTATAATGAATTGATAAAAAAGCGAAAAAAAGATTCATATAAATGGGTACAATCATTTTATTATTTTTTTAAAGACCACAGAACTATCAAAAACTCTCGATAGTTATCGATAGTTACATTACAAACTATCGATAGAGTGGAATATCGATAGTTCTCCGTCTCTAGTTAAAAGCAATACAATATTGCACGCGATATTATATGCAGCTCATTCGTAAACGAGCGTTGCGTCAGACGAGCGAGCGAGTGAGCGAGCGAACGCGCACCTTCGCAGCCTCTCCGGATGTTGAGTAATCACCCTTACGTCGCTTTCGTCGCAGGGCTAACGCTCAGCCAGGAGGCGGACGGTGTATGGGCGTACAACAGGTCGGAGAGCCCGATCTTCGTCAACTCGCCCACCCTGGACGATCCGGAGTCCAGGACGCTGCTGGTCTATCGAGTGCCGCCAGGCTTCTGTCTCAACATCTTCGACCGCGCCAAGAACCTGCAGCTTCCATACGGCGGCGGCGGCGGCGCGGGGGCGGGCGGCTTCGCCTCCGGCCCCGTCGACATTAACTCCGTCCGCATCAGCTTCGCCAAGGGCTGGGGACCCAAGTACTCGCGGCAGGAGGTCACCTCCTGCCCGTGCTGGCTCGAGGTGCACCTGGCGCCATGCAGGTGATCGTCCCCATTGCGACCGGCCGCAAGGATATCGAGTCTCGTCCAGTCGCGCCTCTTCCTCCTACTCGTCATCGTCATCGTCGTCATCATCGTCATCGTCATCGTCATCGTTGTCGTCGTCGTCGTCGTGGTCGTTCTTGGGAAGGACTTGAACGGTGATGTAATGATGCGGCGACCGTGGCCTTTAGCTCCGTCCTAGCAAGAGCGGTGTTTAAACGCGTGCTGGGGACACGGATCTCCAAGAGCAAGATCGGTGTCCCCTAAACTCAGCAGTCTTACCAAAGTACACGCCGTCTTATATGACTAGGAACAACGTCGCGTTTCGTTCCGTCGACAGATAGAGATAGGGAGACAGAAAGAAAGAAAGAAGGATAGGAACGGAAATCGTTCGCGAGTGTGTTCATCGAGCGTATACGAACGGAGAGGGACTTACATCGACGAGTGGTACCTTTTAGGATTTTTACGAGGCGTGTGCTTAATGCGCGCATACGCACGCATTGTTGCTGTTTTAATTATGATTTTCCTTTTTTTTTTTCTTTTGTTCTCTGTGCGCGATCGATTCTCGATCGTCGAGGTGTTGTTGTGTCGATGCTACTCTCGAAATTCGTGTGGAGAATTTCTGACAGCGGGGAAGCGGAGAGAGTCGGGCTTCCGGTAGGTCTAGTCATTTGCGTTTAGTCTGCGCCAGCTCGCGAATTCACGCGGTGGATCCTGAATCCACAGCATGGCAGGGAAAAATTTTAGTCTTATCGACGCATGAAACAAGAGTAACGTCGACGGAGGAGAGAGAAAGAGAATGAGAGAGAGAGAGAAAGAGAGAAAGAGAAATGAATGGAGTGTACGATCGTTCCTCGAGAAGAGTTTCCGTATGATCGAAGAGAACGAGCGAGCCTTCTTTCGTTTCGTCAGTCATACGGAAAGATTCAGAGAACAGTGAACTCATCGGCGCTTAATAGCCGGCAATTCGAAGGATCGCTTACAGGTAATCGACGATTAATTGCAAATTAATGTCAAAATTATCATTAACTTTTTACTAAACATCCAAAATTATACTGTTTCGAAATTACTTTTGGTAAAATTCATCGAGGATTATGCCGAGTTTTCTCGCGTGCTCGTTTTCATAGAACTTGTATTACTGGCGAGAAAGGGAGAACAATTATTTGTACAGCGTTTACACAAAATTAACAAGTAAGACTCGCGAATGTTGATCGTGAATTTTCTACGGCTTTTTGAAATCAGTAGCGCCGACCTCTTTCTCTTGTGACGGACTTTTATAGATTGGAAAACTAGAATATCATTACATTGCATGGAAAAAAAAAAGTATTGATGGAGCAAGAGGAATTTTTTTGTCTTTTAAGGGATACGATGATCACTCGATGATTAACGATGAAAGACGCATTTTTATTTACGCCCGCGTAAGATCACTCGTAGAAAAGGTTTGCATTAGAAGCCGCTCCAGTAGCATAAGTTCTATCGTAGGTCTTACGTTACGAGACGTGACAGTACTGAATCGTAGTAGTCATACGATTGATCAGCGCTATAGAAGCGAAACGTGCCACGAGTCCTGGGGTGTTATCTCCGGTCGTCGTTCGGTGCTGTACATACGTAGGGTATATGTACATACACTGTGCCTTCCCAGCTTCCCTCCGTGGTGCAGCGTACTCGGGTAAACGTGCGCCACATGCCAAGCTCGTTTCGCACGAAAAAATGCCTCCGGAGCTTTGTACTACAGTAATATACGATACTGTGATAAGAGTTTGACGCAGGTCTTTTTTTCTTCCTTTTTTTACGGAAAACGTGTTGCGAAGCAAGCGAGACGAGAGAAAGAGAGAGGAATAGTGAGATATATATATATATATATATATATATATATATATAAAGATAAATAGAGAGAGAGAGAGAGAGAGAGAGAAAGAGAAACAGAAGAAACAAAACAAGATACGTTCGCGTGTGTATGTAAATTCGGACTCGAGAGCGCATGATATTCGATAGTGAAAATTCTCTATATCGACACCAGACAAAAGGTATTCGTTAACTTTACAAAGATTCTTGATCTTATCGCGTTTAATCATTAGAGAGATGTGAAAAAAGGTTCTTGTTTCCTTTCCTTTCTCTTGGAATATCGCTATACATGTGTATATATGTACATATATATGTATCCTACGCGTATATGTACATATAGCGCATATATGCCTTTGGGTTTTCCAATGTACGGAAAACTTTCCGCGCGATGATCATACATGAGTCCCACACACGTACATATGCGAACGTTTGCCGCCCTCTTTTTTTTTACATATTCTCTAGGTATAGATTTGACTTGAAAGATGGAAAGAGCGTACAGTGTTCAGAACATTTAAGTACATACGATGTAATATGTACCAGTCATACGTATTCATTCACACCATACGCACACACATACGCCCATACGTACGTACATACATACATACATATATACATACATACATAGACACTCGTTACACGTACACATAGACATACAATCGACTGATTGACCCGTAGGTTTTTCGACCATTAGTTTACTTTCGTACAACCGCTTTTATCGTGATAAAAGTGGCAGTTACTTTGTAATAACGATCGAACGGATGTTTGTGCTACAATCTTACGAGGAAATCGCGAATGATATATATTGTGATGCGTATACGCCGCTTGAGAATGTTATATATATTAATATGTATACACAGAGACGCATTAAAAATGTTCATAGGTAGCTAGCTGTATCTACTGTGAGTGAAAGAGAGAAAGAGAGAATAAAAAAGCGAGAAGAGAGTAGAGAGAGAGAGAGAAAGAGAGAGGGAAAACGCGAGTCGGATTAGATCATCGGCGAAAATAATGGTAACGAGAGACGATAAGAAATTCCGCCGTCAGATTGTTCACTTTGGACGACTCTGTTTTGCTTTCGCGTAGTCCCTTTTTCACTGCCCCCGTACACGTTGTTGTGGAGGTCGAGAGATCCGCCCCTCACGTCGCAATTAAGCGCCGAGCGTGCACTCGCACAGCGTCTTTGGTACGCGTTTGAAAGCGTTGTTATACGCACTGTGTGTCCCGCGATTTACGAGACGTCGGCCGAGGCGAAGACCGCGATGGAATTCGATCAAAAACAAGTTATCTGCCAAGTTATCCCGCGTTGCTATCTCGAGCTCGAGATTCCGACATTTGTCGAGTCGAATGATCGAGACAGACGAAAACCGACGAGAACGATCTCGCGATCTTCGCATGTTTCACAATATAACGTCGAGGCCATAGACTTATATACTCAGATTCTTATTCTAAACTTTCTCTCAGCCTTTTGATTGTCTTATAAGCATATTTAAAAGCAAGACGCTTCTATCGTAAAAAGTTCAGAGTAAGAACCATAGACTGCATCTTTTTATGAAAAATTTGAAGATTTGAAGGACAACGATTTTCTCCCATGTCCACAAGCATTCCATCTTTATCTAGCTTGATACTTATCAGAGAAAGCTAGAATAAAATGTGCAATAGGAGTCAAACTAGAGAAAAATTGAGTGCCTGCACTAATAAGACATCCTTTCCAACTTTTCGCAGTCTTTCATGGAATACTCAATCCATATATATAAATTTATGGTTGAGATATAAATTATCGCAGTTTTTTTCGTGACCAAACGTACCGATTCGCGCGAATATTTGTGCCTCTTTGTGCTCATCGTGTCGCACTTCCAAGCGCGTCGACGAAAAGAGCACGCACGACGTCGTCACGCGTTAGGAACAAAAAGGCACTTACGAAGGCATACTAAAATTAATGGTAGGACTGTCGTACGACGTAAATACCGCCACGGGCGAGCTTCTTCTCGCCGCGATGCGATGTGTCTACTCGCGGTAGAACGCGAGACCGACTTTTCTCCTCTATCTCAGGAACACGTGATAGAAAATGTGAAGACGTGAGAAGATCACGCGACGTGAAAATTCCGGGGAAAAACTTGGAAAAGAAGCGGAAACACACGAGAAACGCAACAGGTCGGTGGCGAACTTGCAATAATAAATCTATTTTTATCGATCATTGCAGGGGAAAGGACGGAAGAGACGAGTACAGCGCGATTGTAATGATTTATCTCACGATTAGTTTTCTCATGATCGTTTTCTTTTTTTTTTTATTCAATGATTTTCATGTAATGATTGAATGTAATGTTTCGTTGTGATCATATTTTCCGCATTGCCGTTAATCTCGCTGACATTTTACGTATTGCTCTGTCTTTCGTTTCTTTCGGAGCTGATCATATAAATATAAAAGATTATTTATGATAACATTTGTACGTAGTGTAAAGGGCGAAGTGATCGGAACGGAAATTTCGTGGCATCGTGCAATTGTATTGAAGACGAAAGCCTATGTTAATTTTTAATTAAATCAAGCGAACGACGTGCATCTTCGACGAGAGATTCCTCGAATGAAAAAGGATAAAAATACAACTATTGCGTATATTCGTAAATTGTATGTAGTGTTTTTTTGAATTTTTTGAATTTGAATTTTTTTATTTTAACCAAAACGAAGATATTCACACATACGATTTTCTTTTTTTTCTTGTTTTTACGATTCGCCTTTCCCATCTTTCATCCACTTTCAAATTTAACACACCGATCGCGGTCGTAAGCATCGAGTCGCGAACGAACTGATAAGTCATGTCTTTTTTATTTTGTTATTTTTTTCTTTTATTTTTCAATTCATGGGTCACCCGATAAACATCTCTCGACGTAAGAAATTCAAATCCAAGCTCACGCTTCATATTCAACATTTGCTTATTTCACAATAAAGAATATTTATCGCGCCGGCAAAATATCACGATGACTGTCTACTCGACGCGCGCGTCAAGCAAGACTGAGCTTTTTCCGACGGAATAATTTATTTCTTTATATCCGACCGTTCCGGGGATCTGTCCCGAGCGCGTGACGATTACTTTCGCCAATAAAGCCGGCCACTCGTTCGACGAGTTACCGTTTCTCTCGGGCGACGCGACGTGACGTGCCATTATTCAGTAAGTAATAATCGGGAGTAATAGCGCTAATGTTAACGACCGAACGACAATTAGAGCCGTTTTCTAACGTCACTCTTTAACTATCGGCCGACCACTCCACGTGTTTGTGGGCTAGGTTTAATCTTTAAACCATAGACATGCAATACGAAAGTTCCTCATTAGTGAGATTAGGTGCCTTCGAATCGAATCTCACTTAATTAATAATCGAATTTTGCGTTCAATGGAAATCTTGTAGTTATAACGTAAATGACGAATTATTTCGCTTGAATTCTCCGTAGATCTCGCTCGGATCGAATAAACCATTTCGAGAAAAAGAGAGAAAAGAAGAAAGGTGCGCGAAAAGTAACTCATAAGTTTACCTATCGATATATGAATACACAGAATATATAGATGAAGCATGAACTGCTACTTTGAGCGAAAGGAGTGTAAGATCGGCGTGGAAGAGTCAGAAAGTTCAGTAGAACGATTATTGATATTCCAATTATTGAGACTCCCTTAGTTTCACTGACACTCTAGAAAAAAAAAACTTTGCTTTCATGCGATCAAATTGCACAATCAAATTTCTTATCTACACTTGATTTCAAACGAGAACTTCACAACTAAAACTGTGAGCAAGTGGTCGTAAGAAGAATGACAGTGTCAGTAACTTTCTAGAATGTCAATGACTATGGAAGATCAATAATTGGGTATTTATCTCACATAAACATAATAAAAATGGACGGAGTATAAAGAGCGAGATGTAGAAAGAGACAGAAGACAAAAGCTATATCTTCGTTTTTCTCTTAACGCGTGACTCATAGAGAGAAAGAGAAAGATACGGCTTTCGCTTTTCGTCTTTTCCTACTTGATCTTTGCTGCCAAAATTTTGGACACGCTCGATCTATTCTTACTATATCTATGATTTAGTATTTATGCTTTGGTCAGTTTCGATTACATTCGAGTCGCATATTACTGAAACGAAGTTACCCAAAGTATACATACTCACCTCCTTACCCCGAATCTGACTCTCCCGTTGAGTTAAAACTCCGTCTATATATTTGTATGTCGATGAGTTCATCAGTTTGAAAATATTCGAGACACGGGCGTGTTTTCTTTTACATTCTCACTTTTCTTCCTAATTAACGGTTAAAATCATGCGAAGGAACGAGGGAAGGCAGCTAATTTCCCTATAAGGACCCTACGTCTGTGAAACATAGTGCCTTTTATAGCCGTTCACTGTTACATTAGATTAGTGTTTTAGAGCGAGATACGACTAGCGGTGTTATCACGCGTGTCGGTAAACTACTGTTGTTGATAAGTAACCTAAGCGCTTCACATCGGCATCCCTAACGAAAACGTATTATTGCTCGTCTTCGAGAAAGAAAAAGAGAACCACGAAAAACTCTCTGCTCGTACGTGTCTTTCCTTCTCCTACCGAATTCGATCCTCTCTCTTCTTTTTTTTGTCGTGCGATTTAAAAAATCGTCGATGTACACATCGGATGGACTGAACTTTGATAAAGAAAAAACGAAAAGAATAAAAGGTGAAAAACACTTTCGAGACGTGTTTAGACGATAGTCGCAAATTCCCGCGATTCCTGCCGTGTCCTGCGTCCTCTTCCGCCGTGGGTACACTTTGCGCCCATTTAGGATGTAACGAATAAACAACTAGTGCCTTACACACCACACGAGAGATACTGCGCTTTTCGGATGTATGTTAAAATAGGATGTGATCCATTAGACGCTGCAGATGCTTTGAAGCGCCATATGGACCAATTGTGGCTTTTCTCTAAGCGCTTCAAAGCGTTTGCGGCATCTAATAGATCGTACCTATAGTTGATAAGTAAAGGGAGAGAGAGGAAAGGAGAGATGATGCGTTCTAATGTGGACGATTCAGATGACTGTGCGGGCGGGTTTTTTCTCCCCGATCGCAGACGCGCACACTCTCAAGTCATGATTACGCGGAATTTAAAAAAAAAGAAAGAAATGCGTCCTTCTTCGTTGTCGGAGAGAACTTATCGATGACGACAACTATTTTCTATCGCATCGTCGTACGTCACGATCGACTGACGTGCCGCCGGAAATCAGTATTGCGATTTCGTCGACGAATTTCGAGATGACTTGATTAAAAAAAAAACGTATCTTACAAAGTTCTTTTCTCGTCACTTGTACCATGTTCAGAAGAAATTCCGCGAGAGTCGTTGGCTACGTTAAACAGAGGAAACTGCTTCGCAATTGTTGTAAAATTCGTGAGTCGGATTCATACATGCTCGTAGAATCATTTAAGATTAGAAGTATATACCAATCAGATTTGCGAATTTCACAACGGTTGCAAAGTAATTTTCTCTGCTAAACGGAGCCATTGATACTTTACGATGTATATGTCGCAATTGATTTTAGTGGTCCGATATGGTACACGAATTGATAATGTCGAAAAATGCACGTTTAAACCGGAATGGTAATACGGTTTATACTCATGACGTGAGACATTTTGCTAATGAATATAAGCGGTTCTCTTTTTTCTTTCTTCTATAACAGCAGTTTCGAAATTCGTCGACGTGGTGAAACGACGATGCGTAACGTTGCCGGGACAATCGTTTGCATGATTTCACGCGGACAACGAACGGCTCGACGTTTTTTCATTCTTTTTTTTTTCACACGTTCACCGACATTCACTGATCAAAAAGCCTACGATCGGGCGCCGCGATTCTCCTCATTTCCGCATCACGCGCAATAAGATACGCAACAAAGTATATGCATATAAGTACACATGTATATATGATACACATGTAGAGTGTCAAGGTGCGAATGGGGTGCAACGACACAACGGAGAACCGAGAAAAAATGACTATGGCTGTATATATTGTACATAAAATGTGTACGCACGCACGCAAGCGCGCGCGCATATGTATGCATTATACATATAATTATATATGTATATAAATATATATATTATATATTATGTCGTCGGCGAGATGATGATAATAATAATAACGAATGATAGTAACTAATAATAATAAAAATAATAATAATAATAATAACGATAATAACGATAATAAAAAGCAGATGTAAGAATATAAGTGCGATAGCGTAACGAGAAATAACGATATTATTAGGTATACCTCCCGAGAACTCACAATATTATTTTCAATATCATTGTATTCAATTCCGAACGAAGTAACACGCTTTAAGTGACGACCGTGTATTGAAGATCAAGGAAATCCTCTCCACTCATTTTTACGAGATGAAAAAAACAAATATATGAAATTGCAAATTTGTATTCTGCGGTGTTGTCAATGATCGATCACCAGTCACCAACACCATCTCCTTTCATGCGAGTTTCAATTCGCACGATATTTCCCTCTAATTCTAATGCGCGTCTTCTCGTAACAATATTGTTCCTCCGTATACATAATTATTGTAGATATTTCTCGGCAAACAACTCGATGAGTGTTATACTCATCGACATAAAATTGCAGAACAAAGAAAATTTATCTCAGTCGAGTATATTTCTGAGAGAAACACAATCAAGAGAAGTTTACTTTTTTAAGAAGTTATCTGATCCACCGACAACGCGATAATAATGGATTTTCAGCTTCTGAATGGGGCTAGTTATGGTTTACGAGGAGGAGGAAGAGGATACCGGTGAGGGAGATGAGAGAGCGTCGTTTTAACGCACGCTTTACTGTAAGTACGCCGTAAATATTAAGTGATTAAATCCCGGAGACTTCTGCGAAGCGTTCACCGACGAGCGAATATACGACGGTTAATACGTCTCGCTTAAGAGATGGCGGAGAAGTGTTTCCCACTCGTTGGAATGATTGGTGACGCGATCTGCTACGCATCAGTCACCGCCACGGCAACGTTTTTCCGGATCGTAATCGCACCTTCGACGCTTTCGTCTCTCCTTTTTTCTTACTTACACGCGAGAAACAATATCAATTAACGTGTCTTCTTCGTTTTATCACACATATATACATATATTTTATCTGCAACATTTGCGCGACGATGAATCGCGTGCAACGAAATGCTCCTCCGTATGTCCGTCATAATGCGTTACAAATTAATAAATATCTATTCGATGGTCATACTTATAAAGGGAAATGCGATTCGATTGATAAACAATAAATTATCGTATATAAGGTGCAATAAGACTGCGAATCACATCGCTTATTCAGTGAAATCAGTGCGTTATTGAGGAAACAAAGTCGCTTAAGACTTCTAGATATTCGCAGCGTTCATGTTGGATTCGGATGAAGCGAGAAACGACACACTGAAAATTCTTGCGTGCCATATTTCCAAATAAAAAGATATTTACATGAAACTATATTTTTAAATCTCTTTATCATATTTGTGAAATGTTCCAAAAACTATCCTTTTTCTCTTGAATCAATAAAAATGGCAAAATTATCAGGAAAGATAGGTTAAAGATGAAGATTGCTTGTCATGTTAATTTTACAGCTATTTGTTGATTGTCAAAGGAAAAATATAGCTTTTGAAATATTTTACAAGTATACTTAAGCGATCAGAAATGTTTTTTCATACAAATATCTTTTTATCTGGAAATGACATGTAAGAATTTTGGATATATTTTCTCGCTTCTGACATCATCAATTGAGAGTTTTACAGCAAATAGTCAGGAGTCTTAACGATTGATATGCAATCAATTGTTGTATCAATTTGTCAATTGCAAATAGTATTGACAAATACATCGTTCCCTTCGAAAAAAACTTAATTTATTTATTAAATGAATTTTTTAGTCATATTCCTCAATAATTTTTAATCTAAATAATTTTGATATCAATCATTTAAACGTCGATATGAGATTGTATGATGTATGAAACTTTGTGTAAGAACATTATAGTGAGTATTACAAAATCGAAGACTTAATCGATGTTTATTTATAGCTATTATTTACAGAATAATAAACATCGTCATGTACTCCATATAAATCACGTGTAAAAGAATGGTACGAAGCATTCCACTTAACACTTCGAGTCTCTTAATTATAATAAGTGTTGTCTTTGTCTTCCTTTGTTGCATCTTCACTTCTTTTTTTTGTTCGGTATTAGGAAGGATACTATTCCACCAACTGAAAAGCAATTAATTATTTATTATAATATCTTTGTATACAAATTTTATTTAAATATCAGATTGTATGTTACGAAAACTTTTTACCAATCTTTTATACAAAATATCGAAAAGATTTGATTTTTTAGGCTTTTGCGATATCCATGCATATTAGATTTGGTTTTCGGGTTTGAGCCGCGTGGATTCATGTTTGTTTGATTCCGACGTTTCGCGAACATTTCAGTCCGCTTTATCAGGGAGGAACGACCCGATGAAATGTTCGCAAAACATCGGAATCAAACAAAGATGAATCCACGCGGCTCAAATCTGGAAACCAAATCTAATATGGAAAAGATAACATTTTTACACATAAATATGTTTTATCTTGCAAGTTTTTGCCATCTTTGTAATAATATTCGATAACCTCGCTTCTTTAAGAACTTGTGTTTTCCAGTAAAAAAGAGGTTTCTTCAGAACAATAACATACGACAATAACGATGGCATTACTAATCATTCCGAAGATGTGTTTTGCGTCTGAAATTGTGTACTTACATATAACGATACCAGCCAGCATGAACAACGGAATTTCGCAGGTGAAGTCCAGCAGTAAGCCGAAAATCAGATTGCTCGCTACTGCGCTAGCCCTTCCTAAGCATATCATCATAGACACCGCGGCAGCGGCGACATGTGTAGGGAAGATGTTGACTGCCACACCGGCCATCATGAAATTCGACATGGTCAACATTAGTGTGGACACACATGCCATCATGAGAACCTTTTGCGAGGAATTCATGAAATAGATGCCGAAATTGGATGCGCCGGCCAGTAACATCGTGATCACTGGAAAAAAAAAACGTAATTCTGCTTCAAGTAAACATATTTTTCTTGATTTAAAAGAGGAGGGAAATTAGAATGATATTTATATTAGATTTATATTAGATGAAATAGTCTATTTCATTAGAGAGAAATAATATATCGATAAAAGTTTACGCTTACAATATAGGATTAAATAAAACAGCATCTTGCAATTAGAACAATGTACATGACATAACTAAACATGATACGCTGACAAAAGTTGCATGTCATTTTTTAATAAAGATAAATACGGACGAAAGAACATTTAAGATTGCTTGAGCATACTTGTAAAATTGTTCGAAAGATACACAAAACCGCTGTATGCGTATTTATTGAAGAAATAAATATTTTAATATTCTTTTCTTTTTTTTAAAGAGGTGTGTGTCTACTTTTCTTCCTATCACGGAACACGAACTGTTAAAGCTCTAAATTATTTGTGGCGAGGACAGAGAGTGAATCATCTTTCTCTACATTGCTGTCAGAAGCGCGTTACTATACATCAGTATCATGCAATGATACTTACCTGGTATGGTTCGACGGTCGACTCGACTCGCCAAAATTCCGGAGATGATGTTCGCCGGTAAGGAGACGGCATTGAGCGACAATGAATTGATGAAGACTCGCTCGTCTATATTCGGTTTGCACTCTTTGTTTAACAGGTAGAACGGTTCATCCGCAATAGTTAAATTCAGCGATGGGTGTATGTCGGATAACTCACAGATCGTCACAGATGCGTTCGGATGCAAGTGTTGATAGTTCTCAAAACGATTGAACAGTTCTGGCATCCAAAGACCCAAACCATAGTATCTGATAAAGGAGACAGATTTGATTATTTTGTATTTAACGTCGAGAATAAAACATATCGTTCTTTCGATATTAACAATTAAGCTATCGAATTCTCATGTACAGTTTTCTCTCAGAAGAATGTTTTGCTGACTCAGATAGAGTTCCGAATGTCGCAGTTAAAATTTATTTTTTGTTTTTGTTTTTTGTATTTGCTAGGAAACTATGGTTTGTAGAATTAAGTAGTAGTATTTTAACAATATCTGCTGGCAAATTTAGGTCCCATTATTGATCTGGCTTTAATCGCCACAGAGAGTTTCTTGCTAAATTTTACAAGTAGTTCAGATAGAAATTCTGTTTCTGTTATCTATATTGATTAAATATAAAACATGTGATATCGCAATATTTGCAAGTCATTTATCCATCTTAACTAATTTTTTCAATATTAAAAATATATTAAAAATATATTAAAAAATATATTAAAAATATATTAAAAATCTTAATATTAATATTACTCGCATATCTAATCGATTTATAATTTAAAATTTGAGAGAAATTTACCCGAACATATTCGAAGCGTAAATCGTCCACACAATGATGGCGTATTTCAACTGCGGTGGTGACAAAATGGTGCGCAATTGCCGCCAGATATTCTTCATTATGTCCGTCAAAGAATGTATCGAGCATGACGATACCCCGTCTTTTTTCGCTTCCAACACAATGTCAGAGAGTAATTCTTTCACCTGGTGAATACATTGTTCGTGTTAATCGAAGCAAAACAAATCGATCGTGACGATAATATGGCGAACAAGATTAAATCGAAAGAAATCCACATTATTTCATTTACACATTCAAGTTCTTACAAATGTAATTTGTAAAGAAATAAGAATATAATTATACTCACCGGATACTCGTTCTCGTCGCGCCGGTTGTTCACTGCGTAAATCTTCCGGAGAATCGCGAGAGCCTCATCGGTCCTGCCCTGCGACACCAGGAATTTTGGACTTTCAGAATACTTGAGGAGAATTATCATGGCTATGATGAAAGTAGGTATACCGATGAAGGCGAGGAAAGTCCTCCAAGAATTATAATGAATGCCGTAGAACTCGTAATTTATCGGCAACGGTATGAAGATCCACGCTAGACCTGGATAGATTAACGGTTGCATATTAGATATTTCCTTACATTGTCGCAATATAATAATTTACGACAGATTTTCCGGGGACTAGTTGATCAACGATTATGGATTAATTAATATTTCCTTGCGTGTGGTTACAATATATGTTTAAAAAATATAATATCCAAATAATATATCATTATTGTATAATTCGTGCTTTTCTTTTTATCGACAATCAACGAAAAGAAATTCTTACCAGCTAATATCAACCAAGCGAGAGGCCAGAAGAAACCAAGAAAGCAGATGCTCTTCGTTTGACTCTTGTCTTCGTGAAACTCACCGAGATACGTGTATATCAGTGAACCAGGTGCGCCCATCCTAAAAAAGAAAATATAAAAATTGTAGAGAAATCGAAAACACACACATACATACGAAGACGAAGCATTATCGTATTCATTGCGTGCTTACATGAATCCACTTATGACGCGGAATATTAGGAATACGTTGTAACTCGGCGAGAAGCTTGTGATTATTGATAATATACTATCGGTGAAAAGAGTCAGCAGAATGATATTCCTTCGCCCATAAACGCCTGCGAAGATTCCCCAGAAAAAGGCGCTAAACACGCAGCCTATGAAGGAGTCACGAACATAATCAAATTTTAACTTATTGAATATGCTTGTATTGCAAATTTTGAGAGAGGAAAGGTCTATATTTACTTAATTTTCAATTATGAAAGGTCATATTTCTCAGCAAAATCTAAAGAACTCAAAATGTGAAATTTTTTAATTGAAATATAGTTTTTTTTTGTAAATCTCTTTACTTACAATGTTATCGTTAATCGGTTAATCTATATATATATATATATATATATATATATATATATATATATATATATAT